AGGAATGGCAAGATAGTGGATTGGTGGTTGGATGACCACAAAAAGAGTCACCGCCTAGGATGAGTTGCAGCCGAAGTACCTTCTCGCCGTTGGATACAACCCTCAGAAGAGAAAAACGCGAGAGGCAGAAATCTGAAAATCAGAATTAACCAGCAAATAACTCTAAACAAGCAACGTAACCTATATATAATAGGTGGAAGTAGATAAAAACAACAAGTAATAGAAAGGGAAAGGGGGGTTTGGATTAGGCAGAAAATAGAAAAGGCGAGGGATAGAATAAGAAGGGGATAGAAAAGGCAAAAAATATAATAGGAAACGAATTCTCCCTATCGAAGGAATGGAATAGGAAATAAAAACGAGGGGAAGTGTGGTATTTCTTGACCCACGGTTGATGCCCAATGGCTAGCCGGTTCAACCGGCCATAAGTCAGGGCTAGTCGGTTGCCCATGAAGCCCCGAGTCATAGCTTTTATTAAAACAAATTTTAGGAGATTTTTAAACTATTACAAAGCTTTTATCACTTAGCTTTAGAATTTTAATTTCAAAATTAGGATTTTAGGCAATTTTAAAACCTTAAAAACTTGCAATATTTTGGACTAAACTTAGGATTAGTAAACTAGTAATAAAACTTCTTAGAGAGGCAACTCGTTCCTCGTGGGATCGATAATGCGAACTCATAATTCAAGTACTACTTGATCGACATGTATACTTGTGCGATAACATGTGACAACACACAATAGATCAGATGGTGATCTCTCCTAATCATCTGGATACCTACCGACACCTCCACATCTATTGCTTGTTGTTTTTTACATCAAACTTACTATCCAGTCGTAAGTCACGGTCATTTTTAGCCGTTACCGTCTTTTTTCCTCGGTTATTCTCCCTACCAATATCTGACCCATCACTTAATCCTTCCACACCATCCTTGAACATTAGGTCGATGTCATTTAGTTAAAGATCCCGACAAAACCTAAGCAGTTAGGGATTTATTATCTCCACTCCTAACCTTAAAATCCACATAAGCTAACATAATACCTCCACCAAAAATTATCCTTACACCCTCCATCCCAAACCCATACTCTAACTTTAAATAATCCCCTTTGTCAGTCGAAACCCTAGAGAAACATGAAACCATAAAGCCGATGAAACATGCAAAAAGATAATAACAAAAATGTCTTTTTAGAGAAGAGACAACTCGTATAGGTCAGCCATAGCAATAAGGTGACTCGTCGGATCGAGATCAGAAAGTCTATTGTCGGCACTTAAAAGAAAGAA